CCTATGTGCATAGTATACTTGGGAGATCTATCATCGTAGCAGATTTATTAGGTTCTTGGTTGTCAGATATTAGTATATAATAGCTAAGTCACTAGTTTCAAAGTAACCTCCTGAGACCTGAACTGAGTGGTAAAAGGCACAAAGACAACTAAAATTCGCTGAAATGTAAGTTTATTTCTTTCGAAGTCTGGGAGTATGAAGAACATGACATTGATAGGCATAGGATTCCAAAACCTCCAAGTTCTTCCTCTCAGCAGTTAACTGCTCCAGTCAGGTCATCTTTCCAAGTGAGAACTAAGATGGGCACTTGATTCCTTTGCCTTTTGTAGTTAAGAAAGCAGGGAGAACTATTTAATAGAGTCTAAGTGTACTGAGAGCCAGAGGGATATTCAGTGTCTGTGGTGGTTTGAGTGAGAATGTCCCCCCATAGGATCACATGTTCAAACTTTGGTGCCCAGCTAGTTCAACTGCTTGGGAAGGATTGGGAGGTATAGCATCTTGCAAGTGTGTCACTGGAGATGGGCTTTGAGAGGTCAAAAGGCCACACCATTCCAATGGGCTCTCCTTCTGCCCTGTGCACATGGATCAGACATAAGCTCTCAGCTACTGTTCCAGTGCCATGTCCCACAATGGTGGTGGGTCACCTTTAACAACATAAAAGCCCCTAGTAAATGCTTCCTTTTAGAAAAGTAACAAAGACTGTGTCCCAGAAAACAGACTCATGTCACTCTACATACAGTCCAAAGACTCAGACCCTGAGCCTTTTACAGGTCATTTCCCTTTACCTCAAATCAGACTGCATTCTTGCAATCTACCAGTCAGCTCAGTTTCAGTCAACAGGAATTTAAGGTAGGTAGTTGTAATTCTTTCCTTTTATGGGACATTGCAAACGACCTTCTCCTGAAATCCCACTTCACAAAAACACAATCTGTTTTTTACTGGATCATTACTGCATTTCCAGTGCCAGGTGGAAATGATGAAGAAAGGAAGTCGACTTACTGGGAAGGGAAAAATGAGTTCAAAATGCCTTTAAAAGGATCACAGAAAATAATCCCAAATGTCTAAGACAGCACATGAACTAGAAGCCTGGCTTCCAAAAGATGTGGCAAAGGTGTCCAAAGTGGCGGCACAGGCCAGTAATTTAGGATATGGAAGTAGAATTACATGACTGAGCCAACTTGGAATATGCAATAAGATTCCATTCCCAAAAGGAAACCCCTTGGAACTTGGATTTTATACACACACACACACACACACACACACACACACACACACACAGAGAGAGAGAGAGAGAGAGAGCGAGAGAGAGAGAGAGAGAGAGAGAGAGAGAGCGAGAGAGAGAGAGAGAGAGAGAGAGAGAGAGAAAGAGAGAGAGAGAGCCAAAAACCCAAACAAAATCTTAATTGTATTTTTAGCATGATTAAATGGCTTTTAAATAAAAGGCTGAGTCTTTGGACTGTCATGTTGGCCTCTTCCTCTCCTGTATCTGCATGGAGGAAATGGAAACACCCTTCCCAGGGGTTCCTCTTCTACAAGTTCCTAAACGGTTCCCTTTAAAAATGAAGTTCAGTAATTGACCTTCAAGGACTCTCTGAAATGGCTCGCAGCCAAGCTGCACCAGAACCGATAAATCTGTTCTACCCATGGGTTCTTTCACTCTTTCTGTGTGTGAACCAGTTTGCAGTAAGTCAATGGAGTGTCCATGGAGGTGGCTTGAACTCCAGTGTGTGGCTAGAGAAAGTCCAAGGAGCAGGGTGTGGACCAGGGGGGATGGGTCAGCATGTAAAACCACAGGTTGCATCTGTACTTCCAGCTCTCCTACGAGGAAATAAGGAGTAGAGATAGAAGAACTGGCTGAAGCTCCAGGGTTAAGCTATCCTCCAGTATTCAGCACAATGACAGCAACAATGGAGACACCCCATTTCAAAACAAAAACAAACAACAAAAAAGCAAACTGGAGGAAAATCAACTCCCAAAAGTTGTCCTTTGACCTCCACAGATGCTGAGGCACTTGTACTCATATACAAAATAAACTTACTTAAAAACAGCAGCATGCTGTCCTTTACACACCGAGAGCTGTTCTCTAAGGGTTTTAGACAGACTACAAGGTTGATATTCATGGCCAACCTATGAAGTCAATACCTCTAGCACCATTTTATAGACTAGGAAACAAGTCAGACAGTCGTGAAGGTCAAGCTGAGCAGACATACTACATCTACAGGCTGGAGAAGGGACACCAAAGTTCCTAAGGCTCTTACATGTAGGCCAGTTGAGAAAGTGTACCCTGAATCTGTTTTGAAGAACACATCAAATTTCTAACAATGGATATGAGTGAGGAACTGGTTACAGCTTAGGACCACATCTGTTGTTATGCTTTATATTTGTATGCATGAGATGCAATCAACCCCATGCCAATGGCAGCTTCACTCCCCAGTTAACCCCTGCACAAACTCACAAAAAGCACACTTACTCTCATACTATACTGTATTAGGTCAGAGGTGAGCCAGGCACTTTATTTTTTACAAGAATTCTAATGCACATTCCAGGTATTGATGGGGCATGTCTTTCTGTATATATGTTTCTCTTATTGATGAATAAAACAGATTGGCCAGTAGCCAGGCAGGAAGTATAGGCAGTTCTACCAGATGAGAATTCTGGGGAGAGGAAACCAGGGAGAGGCCACCAAGAGATGCCATTCTGCTCAAGGAGTAACATGCCAGATTATGGATAAGCCACAGCGAGCCTCGTGGCAATACATAGATTAATAGAAATGGGTTAATAATTAAGACAGAGCTAGTCAATAGGAAGCCTGAGCCATCAGCCAAACATTTTATACTTAATATAAGTCTGTGTGTTTATTTGAGGCAAAGCGGCTGTGGGAACAGGCAGGACAGAAACTTCCATCTACAAGGTATACAATTTTGGGGGGTTGGTTTCAAGACAGGGTCTCTCTGTGGCTTTGGAGGCTGGTCTCAAACTCCCAGAGATCTTCCTGTCTCTGCCTCCTGAGTGCTGGAATTAAAGGCGTGTGCCACCATCACCTGGCTAGGGTATACAATTTTTTGAAGTTGAAATTAACTTATCTCTGATACTATTCATATCTGAAGACTTACTTTAGTTCAGCACATGGCCAGTGACCATGCTTATCACCACACACTGAAATATTTCAGCCAACCCAGCTAAAAATACCAAATGTGCACAGGTACATTTTTCTTTCTTGGGGACAGAGTGGTGGAAATGGAGTCTCATGTAGGCTAGGCTGGCCTCAGACTGGATATGTGACCGTGAACTCTTGACCCTCCTGACTCTGCCTCCCCCATGCTAGGATTACAGGTGTGGGGTTGCTTTGCTCACAGGCATGTTCATGTATGCTACATTTGCTCTGATAATTTTATGGTCTCTCTGTGTCATCCCCACTAATCATGTAATCACTTATTTGTTCTTCCCCTCCTGTAAGTCTCCTCACATGAACAAGATTGTCTGTAAATAGTTGATGCAAAAGCCAATTTTCCAGCAGTGCAGGATGTTTTACTTTCCTGAATTATGTAGACTCTGAAGCTGGAGTCTCCGGGTCTGGCATTTGTAGGGTTTGGGTTCCCCAAGGCACTACTACCCAGCCCATGCTTGTTCTGACCAGCAGAGTGGCATCTTGTATGGCAGCCCATTCTGACCTTGTATCAGTAGGTTATTTTAAACTAAATAATTGTGATTGTTTTCCAGTGCTAATTGCACCCCACTGGTCCTAGTTCTTAAAACAAGAATTTCCCTTCCCACCTGGATCAGACAAACCCAACAACCAAGAAACATTAGTAATTGTCAGCTGAACTTTACTAAACACTTTGTGTTTAATATATTTTAAATTATAAAGAAATTACAAGGAACTCCTAAAAAATTTAATACAAAAATATTACAAGTTAGGACAATTAAGCATTGGTAGATGACATTTAAAGAAGCATGCAGGGAAAGGCAGCATAGGGTTAACATTTTCACCATTGACAGACCCCTGGGACAGCAGAGAAAAGCACCACAAAACCAAGTGTCCATATGGCTTTTCCTCTACTGAAGTTTTCAAAAGAATATATAGGAAAAAAACCCAGTAAACTTTAACCCAATCAGCTACATATTATAGTAGGTAAGAAATCTAATTCATGATAAAGTATGAGAATTAGGAAATTAAAAATAATCCCCTGCAATGGTGGCTTGATGAATTTGTAACTTCAGGCTTATATGGACTCTAATCCTTGGCAGCCCAATGCTTTCTGGAAAAGTATAAAAACAGAATGCCATTAATAACCTATGCCATGCAATAGAAGTTAACCCCTTGAAAACTAAAGGCTGTTAGCTTTAGCAACTGCAGTGACAGCATGACAAGGCTATATCTGCCTGTTGCTATCAAGGAAACTGAAGCAATGTAGAGGACATAGAGAAGGCAACTTGACCAAGAAAATTAAGAACATGTCCAATAATTCTATTCTGAAAGTCTCCAGTAGCTACAAAAATGTTGAGAGTAACAGAGGCTAGAAGGGTGCCTTAAGACTTTCTTCATAGATTAATAGGTTTGTAGTGATATAAGCAATTAGCTAAATATTGCAGAATGCTTGTTTTATGTGGAGGGAGGGGCTCCTGCCCTGAAAGCCTTCAGTCCCATACTTGGTGTGTCTTGTGTCACTGCATGCAAAGCTAACAGTGAATCTGAAGTCTTAGCTCATGTGAGAAATCCTCTAAATAAACTATCAATTTTTCAAAATCACTCAGGAGTCATCATTATCCTTTAGCTGATTACATGCTATTATTTAACAAATATAGAAAATAATCCCTTCATTTTAAAAAATCTTATCCCCTGCAAGAAGTAATAAAATAGCAAAAACTTTAATTTCATCTATGGGCTTCTTTAAAGTATACATCTTGGAAACAATGTTTATGAAAACAGTGATTCCCATGGCAGTTATATTCACTGGAGATAGTAAGAGTGAGGACAGATAGGTTGTAGTAGGGAAGACTCTTGGAGCAAAATCATTTATTGTACACTGAACAGTGGGAGATAAAAGCAATCAAGATGTAAACAGGAAATTGTAAACAAATGCCATCCCTCTCTTCCCATGACTAAACAGTCTGTACAAACCACCTAGGTATCAAAGGTTTTATATATGTACACAGCCAACATAATATCAAAATATACTTTATTCTGGACCTCTTTCAGATCTGATTCAAATTACAGTTGTCAAAGCAATACAATGCAAAGGGAAAACTGCAACAACACACACATAAAAAATGTGCCTGGAAAGGGTCAAAGGGTCATTGGGGACAAATCACCATGATGTGGAACCAAAATACATAGTAAGTGTCATTGACATGGTCCAGGAGAGACAGACATCTGTATCAGTCTTCCTTACACAATCATCATGAAAACTGAACAATAAAGTTCTTTAACATGTACAAAAACTGTCATGGGCTGGTTTACACTTTACAACAGCTTTAAGGTTACTGGGGAACTAAAGAAAGGATGCAGACATCATCACCCAGTGGTAAGGTATGCTCACAGAATTAGACCCAAAGGATTTGCCAAACCCAAATGAAAACAGTCTACATAGTGACAATGTCAAAGTCGGGAGAGAAAACCACTTCTGTATTTAAGGATGACAGAGATACACAATGAAGTCTGTAATGAGATGAAAAAGTAAACCAGACAAAGCATGCAAAATGTTTCCTCCAACTTATCCAGAAATTCCAAAGAAAACATGAAACTGCCTGCTAGTTGTTTTAAAATAAAAAGCCTAATTATTCACCCAGCTCCAACATGGTCACAGAAGGGCAAAAATAAAGAATGCTATGGACACCTCAGAACTGCTAGAGAAGACATCAGATTCTAATGAGTGGATTAAAAATGTGAGCACTCCCTTTTATCCCCTCTTCTACATTCAACCAGAGTCACATATTAAAACAACTGGCATCAAATGTGACAGACACTTCAGAGCTATTACCGGAAGGACTAGTTCACACCTTCCCCCCTTGCTGACTTCAAACAAAAGGAGGGAATCAAAAACAAACAGAAAACCACCCCCTGGGTCTCTGTAGGCTGGCTGCTAGCCCCCAAATGCTGGCTTTTGCTGGTGTGCCATGATGTTGGTCCACGGAGGCAGGATTTCTGCAGCAACTGTGCCAGTACCACTCTTAACTCGTGGGAATCCAGCTTTTGTGGAAACGTGCAATGCACTTACAAAAACATAAATGGTCTTTAAAAGAGCAAGACAGCTCTGTCTGAGATGGTTTTCCTATGCGTCTGGTCAAACTGGTCATGTCTGCTTGCAGAAGCCTGGTCATCTGTGATTCCTTTCACCAGCAGAATGCCCAGTCCTCCATGGGCCTCTGCTCCTCATTCATAGTCTACATTACTCTTTTTAAACAAAATCATTCTACATAAACAGATAGCTCCTTAAAAATAGTACTCTCTCATTAAATCTGATTTGACAGAAATAATCTTAAGGAAAAAAGGAGTGCTTTATAAGTGAAAAGTACAAATCTTTGGCCTGTCTCTTGACATTTTTATGTCAAAAAGCAAAAAACCTTCATGTGATTCAATCTATTGATTACTTTTTGCACCATAATTTGTTTTTTTTTTTATACCACAAAAGGAGGCACTTTCAGTATCTGTAAAAGATGTTTAATCCTAAAACATACTCACCTAGAGGATAACTCATGAAAACAGAATTTGCTATACTCTAAGATCTATTATTCCACTTACCACTCCTAAAGACATTTGAAAGTGAATAATATTACCTGATCATGGAAACGGGAATGGGGCAAATCTCCATCTCCAGGGGTCTCCCGCATGGAGAGCAGAGATTTCTTCATGCCTTTTAAGGGTGGCAGCTGCTCCCTCTATTCTACTTTAATCAAAGAGTATTCATTTAAGTCTCCTTATTCTCTTTCCTTATGATTAATTTTCTTACAGAAGAGTATAAAACAATGATCTAAATGAACACCATAGAAAGACAACTGGACTCCATGAATCTTCAGAGTAAGCTCTCAGAAAAAGACAAGAGGGAAAATAAGAACCCCAAGACAGAACTTCATAAGCTGTGAAACATGGTCTCCCGTGATCACCTGACTGCTCTGGCGGAGACACGGTGCAGTGTCTGTGGAGCAGCATTGTGGCACGTCAGCAGGCTACGGTGACAGTGAGAACAGCAGCAAACCACACAGTCCTACGCTCATGAAGAACCAGCTTAAAGATGGACACCTTCAGACAAGCCTGCACAGGAAGACCTGAGGCTTTGGAACAGCAAAGGTCTGCACTCATGCTCTGTTAGACATTCTATCACAACTAAGTGCTAAAGTAAAATAGCCAAAGAATTAGGAAAAGAAATCAAACCAACAAACATACCCAACAGGAAGCAAGACAATATCATAAAAAGTCAGCTGTTACTATGGCAGCTGTATTACAGGTTTGTGACTGTCTTTGAATCAGCTGGGAAGAATGCCAATGACTGTATGCAAATGAATAAAGTCCATATCAAAATACAAAAGCACTATCAGCAATCACCTCTGACTATCAGGGTTAGATTCAGTGCAACTGACAAATGCATTGCTGAAGGAAATGCAGTTTAGGCATACTCAAAACTTTTGTGTCTATTCCTGGGAGCACATTTATAAATTATTGCACAGATTTTTTATTTTTATATATATTTTTTAAACAGCAACAACAGAGGCCAACAGATGTGACCCTCTCGCAGTAAAAGCAGAATCTCAAGTGCCAGACATTCTTGGCATTGTAGATTTCCTACAGAACCCCAGAGCAGTGAGCTCTAAATATCTCAGTGTGATCCAACCCTAAAAAACACCTGGCACAAGCCATAAATGACTGCCTCTCTGGATGTAAATTTTAAAACTATTATTACAGTATCATAGTCCCCACTAACAACAATGGGGGAGATATAAAAATGTAGAGTGAAATTTAAGTGTATTCATCTTCTTTACCAAAAGCAAATGCCACCCTACCTTAGTGAAGCCAAGACTTGCATCAAAGAGCAAAGCAGCGGATACCAAGCATCGCAGCTGCAGGGCTGGGTTAGAGTCCCTTAGACAGAACACAGGGGGGACTTAGGAGTCAAAGGCCTCAAAACAACTACGGACACAAATAGTGTTATAAATTTGCTAAGCACTTTCTTAATAAAAATTTAAAGATAAAAATTTGACAACTGTTCTCTTCAGAACCGACATGCCTTGGTTCTGTTAATCCCTACTATCCTGTTAACCACCTTCACAAACATGGCCTCTGGTGAATATTTGTAGGTTATTTTACTTTTAGCTGAGCATAAGAAGAGATCTGATTGGATACCTGTATCTTTAAAAACAAACTTGATATAACAGAGTAAAAGACATGATGTAGTAGTGATTACTGGAAAGCAGCAGCTTAGATCATGTTGCTTGACCAAGTGCAGCCTTGACGCCACAGACTCGGGCAGAGTGGCACAGCAGCCACACTTCTCCCTAAATCCTCAGTCATCGCTACTCAAAAAAACCTCGAAGCAAGCCTTTAAAAGTTGTTTTTAAAACTAAGGTAGCAAGCATTTTGCCATGTGATGGCAGTGTTATATGCTGTAATCTTGCTTTGTAAAAAGAAAAATAACAGGAGAGATTTTTAATACTGGAATCTGGCTAAATTACATATTTAAGCTTCTATATAGAATGATGGACACTTTGAGAAGCTAATCCTTATCCAGAAACATTTTAATCTCTTAAGAAACAAGTAAAAACAGACAAGTGGTAAAATAAAAATTAAAAAAAAAAAAAAAGCCCCAGACTACATTGCCCCTTCTCACAATAGTGCACATTTTGACCATAATTTAGCTATGGCTAGGAAACATCGGAAAGGTTTTTTTGTTTTGTTTTTTGTTTTGTTTTGTTTTTTATTTTTTAATGTCTCTTCTTCATGTTATTAGGAAAAAAAAATTGTGCCCTCCTATTCTTAAATTGGCAGAAATACGTCCCCAAGAAGAAACTATTTTATTTTTACACACACACCACACACACACACACACACACACACACACACACACACACACACACACAGAAAAACAAAACAAAGATAAGGTAATACCCTTTGCTGATGTGTGTTAGAGAGTAACATGACAAATGTCATGTGGTTTCCTTTAATTCCAACTCCCTCCACAATATGCACCAACTGAATATATACTCTGGGAGCCATAAAATGTACCAAACATCTACCTTTTCCAAAGAATGCAGTAAAATATTTTTTTAAGATTTTTTTGTTTGTTTAAAAGGTGAGGAAAAGTAAAAGAATATGATTCACTCCCTTATTTCATGCATCCATAATCTAAACCAAAACAAACTTGAAAGCAAGAACAAACTGCGGCCGCGAGTTTTTGCTAAGTCCAAGTTCTCTGTACATACAAACTGCGCACTACTGAAGGGGAAAAAGAATATAATCCATGGTGTCTGCTGATTTAAAGGGGAGAAACAAGGCTGTCATTAATATCCAAAACTGGTACATGTGTGGTTTGCTCTTATAATGCATTTTCCATCTCTTCTGCTTTTCATATCCAAACTTCTAAACGCTACTTAGGGGCACAGCAGGTTAGATCCCAGCACTTGGTGAGCAGAATTCACAAGCTGGGATGAGACTGTCATCTTCAGGGTACAGCTGTGTTCATATACACTGCACGTATATATTTCTCTTAGATTTGGCTGTAGTGGACTGGCCATGGTTCAAGTGGGACTATAGCAGTATGTGGGTCAGGGATAGTCTTGTGGCTATGTACACATTCATAGTCGGTCCATGGCTTCCAACTAGTAACGCTATTTCCGAAGGTCTAAGACACAAACCTGTAAGAGATTCCAACAGTTAGCCAGAAGGCAGAAACCTACCTTACATTTCAAGCTCAACTTGTATATAAATCACAGTGTAATTACAATCTGTTTCTAAGCTGAATACTCATAAAAATCAAAGCAACAAATCATAGAAAAAGACATAACTGAAGGGCGTTAGATCACTAAACTATGCAGTGAGCGCCCACAAGTGACAGTAACTGAAGAAATGGTGCTGTAATTTTTAGGAATTAATGTTTATAGTCAGTAAAACGGGGGTGGGAAGCATACAAAACACTGTTCCTAACTCTCAGATCGTAATAAAAGCCATCACAGTTATGGAGGCCACCTTACTCAACAGCCCCAGGACTCTGTAGCTTCTGCTTTATAACAGAAGAGGCCACACTACCATTTTAAAAAAAAACCAACCTACTAAACGGTATCCCAAAGGTTTCAGTGTCAAATATCTCCATGAAAAAAATCAGTCTCAATTCCATGACCTCAACACTCCCTCCACAGAAAGGAGATCTGGGGAAAGAGACTCTATAAATGCCAATCACGGAGGCATGACACTTCAGTACATTTAATTTCACAAATGAAGATTTACATTGAAAACTGTTTTATTCTATTCAAAGGCAATGACATGTCCAGCACATGTAGCCCAAGGAGTGGTGGTGGGATGACATCAATACCTTCTTTAATTTTTTTTTTATTTTGCAAAGAATATGACTGTGTATCCAACATGCGCCCCTCTCTCTAAAATTCATGAGTATACTCACTGAACCATCTGATGCACTGGCTCCAACTTTGTCTCCTGCTGCATTCCAGCAAACTTCAAAAATCCCACCTGTTCCCCTGTAACTGTGAACTAAAGCACCTGTCTGAAAATATTAAAAACAGAACCCAAAGAATTGTTACAGAAGTCAAAACAGCGAGATAAGAAAATGACAATGCGAAAGACTGACTCCTGAGATCCCCACCACCACCACCACCACCACAACACACAAGGATCTATAAGTAGTTAATGGTTGCTGAGAGAAGAAAAGCCATTTTCTTCAGTGGTGTAGCTCTTGTCCATGCTCCTACAAGTAACTATTTAGATTCACAGTCTTCTCCAATCCCCAAATGCCATTAAAGGAGAGGAACTAACTAGGAAAAGGAAAACAGTCAGTGGGTGGGTGACAAAAAGGCACGTGTGTGTGTGTGGGGGGGGGGTGTTCACCAGAATACATTACATCATGTATATCATGATGAAACCTATGTATAGTTATCACGTGGTGGGAAAGAGGAAGAGAGAAAAAGAGTGGGGGGAGGGGGAGAGAAACCCATTTAGGAGGCTAGTGTAGTTGAATTAGTATAGTAATCAGTATAAATTTAGAATAAAGTAATTTAAAAACAGTATATGGGCTCAAGATAAACTGTAAAAGACAACAGAACTTGTGAATAGATTAGGTCTGAGAATGAGTCAAAATACAAAAATATATTGTGTGGCAATATTTCTAGCAATCAGAGGTGAGACTTGGTTTCAAGTAAAAATATAGGCAGGTTCTGAGCCCCCAGAAATGTGCTATGGTACCCCTTCACAGATGTGATCAGACTATTTGGAAGGGATGGTTCCAGCACAAGCTGCTTTTCTAGTGTTGGTGACCATTCCCCACTAGGTGGAACATTCAATGCAAGATATGAAGTATACTTGTAACTGAGGGATGTATGCATTTTGCCAACAAAAAGAAAGCATCTCAAAGATGAAGTGTAAAAAATAAGAAAGATACTGTGTTCGTGCTGTCTATAGCTTGTTTCCTTGAGTAGTATAAGGGGGGCAGAGATAGTCCAAGGAAGGCAACGGAAGAAAAGATATACATATTCCATTTCAGGAATTTCTTAAAAATGTGTCCAGGAATGTTAACAATCCCATCCTCTTAGCTCAATTCTAAGTATAGCTATTTTATTCTTTACCAAGAACAAAAGTTCGGCTGCCACTAAAGAACTAAAATCAGATCAGAAATGTACTCTCCTGTGCAGCCACAGGGCAGAGGGCAGAGGCTGTGCAGTGGCAGCTAGATACTACAAAGGTGCTTTGCTCTGATAAAGCATGTAAGTGGCCCTGAGGGCTTCCTCTGCCACACCCTCACACATCTTGACCACCACTATCCTAGCATACACGTCTGAATACCTTTGCTTTGACTTCCTCTTCAAATTCAGCCCAACACTGTTTTCAAACCACAGATGTAGTGTGATCAGAGAAATTTGTTTGAAATTTGACAAATTTCCCTCTTTCCTAAAACTTTTCATAGTTTGAGACTGATGAAAAGCTGAGTACTGTGACCGTAAATATCTATGGTTACTGAGAAAACAAAGGAACAGCCAGCAAGATGGAAAGTGACTGAGGTGTAGAAGGCAAGCCCTATAGACCTGCTAACCTACAGCAGATGGATGAATGTGGCGTTAAAACAAATAGCCATCCACCCACCTAAACTACCTACCTACCTACCTACATTAACAACATCTACCAATCTATATAAGTTGACGCAAGACAATAATGAATCCAAACATAGCTACAGGCAGAACTGTGATGATGAAGGTTAGTAGGTCACATCATCTCACCTGTATGCTGGAACAAGACCCAGGCCCCACCTGTCATACACTCAGGAGACACACTTTGAACAACACAAAGGAATTACCCCACTGGAGGACAGCAGTGCCTGTTCCTACCCACAGATGCCACCTGCCATTTCACTCAAGTTTAAAAAGGTAAAAGGGCTCAAATCAGTGGATAGAACACCAGCAGACAGCTGACCACATACCTTAAATGAGCTACATTTCACTGAAATTATTTTGGCACCATGATTTCTAATTGGAAAATCTTCCAAACATTTAGCAACAACTAAAAAGACCATACATTTTAAGAGACAGCGTTCACACACATCTAAAATTCACAAGGCACTTCAGAGCAATCATAAAAATTTACTGAAGAAATAAGACAGACACAGCGTACTCTTTGGTAATTAACTCAATGTAACCTATAGACTTAGTGGGGTCAAACAAATCCATAAATACACACTTATTTTGGGATGTGCTGATAACCAATGTGCCAAGAACAGAAAAGCTAAAGAATGACAAGGATCAAGACACATATCATGGAGAGTGGTTAGGTCTGCAATGTGGATTCAGCTATGTACAAATGTACCAAAGGCACAAAAGAGAGCCGGGGGCTAGAAATACAGTTCAATGTAGGGTGCCACCTGGCCCTACTAAAGTGCTAGTTCAATCTCCTAAACTATGAGGCAAAGAGCAAGCAGCAAGCCAACCACGTGCATAGTTAACAGACATGGTATATGTGGTAACAGTAAGGGGACAATGAATGACTCCAAGACAACTGCCTACCCATGTAAAGATGACTTTCTATCTGGACCTCACACCATCCAAATCTACACCAGAGGTACCACCAACAAAATCAAGCTAAACCACTGTAGGAAAAATAAAAAATTCAGAGACCCCAGTGACATAAATATATATTTGTTTATATGCAAAGCTATAAAAAGCACCGATCTGAACACTCATTTAAAAGAGTGATATGGTAAATTCTCCATGAAGAAGACAGAAAGGAAGACAACTTCCATCACACCCAGGATAGAAGAGTGCCTAGATCATACAAATACCACCAACTAACAAATAATGAAAAAAGAACAGGTGATCTGTACTGTCTACTCCAAACAGATTGTACAACTCAATGTATAAATAAATATGATTACATCTACCAAATTACAAAAATGTTTAGGGGACTGAGAATTCAGGATATAGAAAATATGGAAGTACAATGTGGCATGCAGTTGAGAATGGATACTTCATGAACTCAGAATTCCTTTTGTGAGCATACAATCATGTACACACACAGATGTGCAGACATTCAACATAAAGTCCATATAAGCAGTAGAAAAGATTTGATTCATTTGCGTATCAATAACAAAATGAACCAAACCATTATGTTAGATCTCCATGAAATTGTATGATTATAAACCAGAAAAACGTTAGTGCAAATCACAAGCTTTAAAAAATATGTAGCACATCATACCATTCATGTACAATTTCCAAACGGTATATACAATTACTATGGGAATGGCTGACAGCTCTCCATGACTGATGCAGAAAGGAGTTAAACACTTTAACTGTGTCAAAAAACAATTTAGTTGAAATCCTGTAGGAACCAGAAAAAAGGTATCTACGAGAAACAAGGCAAAATATCCTTACAAAGTAACTCTGAAGATTATGTTAACCATACTGTTCATGTTTATGTTCATTATAAAGTAACTCTGAAGATTATGCTAACCATATTGTTCATAGTTGTGTTCATTCCCAAATACACATCATTGTTCAGGATTGAGAAGTTGACCTGGGTGCACCAGTGCTCACTTAGGAACACAAACTTAAAACTTGGAAATGGTGGTTTTAAACATGTATTTCATAACAACAGAATTTTTTGGCACATATTCATAAAGAAAAAAATGAAATAGAGATAAGACATTATCTAAGAAGATATTAAAATAGAATATTTTAATTTTAAACCAGGAACATGCTTCTAATCTCAGCACTTGGAAGAGGAGGCAGGATGAGTTAAAAGCCAGTCCAACAAAGTGAGACCTCTCAAAAAACCAAAACCACCAACAATCCAGTTGAAAAAGGAAAGGACATGATCATAAAGGAGCCTCAACTACATAGGAAGTAACTCCTAACATGAAATTTCTGTATAGCGAAGGAAATACTCAGCAAAATAGAAACAGAAAATGGAAATGGTAGAAAATCTGTGCCAACCATACTTCAGACAGAAAAATATAGAGAGAATACATTTAAAAAAATTAAGCACCAAGTAAATAACTCATCCAGTCAACTGAATAACTGATAAAAGAAGAGACAAACATGGCCAATAAATGTTTTCCTAAGTTTTCAACATCCTTGATCATCAGAGAAAGGTGAACTAAAATTACTTTGAGTTTCCAATTTCCTTAGTCAGAATGGCTGTCACGAAGAAAACAAGTGTCAACATGCTGGCAGTCCAAACTAGTCCAACAACTACAGAAGTCAAAGAGCGAAGCAGAGCAGAGCACGCAGGAGCGGCACAAGTGCTCACGGGAAGACTTCGTCAGCACACCAGAGACACGTGCACAGCCCTGTTCACTGTTTACTATTCAAGATGACCAAGCAATGAAACCAGCCTGGGTGTTTATCAAAAGATGAATGAGAGAGAAAAGGAAAGAATGTATACAAATGGAATTTTATGTAATCTTTAAGAAAAACATAGAACCGTGACATTTTATAGGAAAATTGGTGGAAATAGCAATTATTGTTAAGCAACATATGCCAGACTCAGAAAGACAGATATAACATGATTCTTTTCACGAGGATCCTAGATTTTCATTTTTACGTATGTGGGTAGAGTACACGGCATGAACTAGTAACATCATAGAAGGGGTTATGAGAAGGGATTAATGAGATCTTAATGAGGGAGAAGATGGTAATGAAACCCATGTGACATGAAGATGGAATGGAGACTGGGGAGGAGGTGAAGGTAGGGCTGGGTGTAAGGGTCAGAGAGGGGAGTGGGGAAACACCCTCAACAAAAACAAAGTATGCAGAAAGTGGCACAATGAAACTCTTTAGTTTCAATGCTAGTTTTTAAAGAAAAATTACAACTTTAAAAATGCTCAGAAGTCAGCCTACATACCCTTAAGTGTGTACCGAGACACTCACCTTCATTCCACACTGAGATATCAACCTCTACCTAGAAGTTGGACCTATGCTGAGTATGACCTACAAGAGACATGGTGCTCTGTGCAATAAGCAGCTCAGTAAGGATGAAGGAGAAGCCACTAACAACAGTTACTGTGTGGCAGGAGGGCAGAGATGGCCAAAGCTCCTCAGTGCAGACCTTCCAAAGCCATAGGATGTAGAAGTTAATGGAAACACTCAAATGTGATGGTTTACAGCAACTCATGAAATTAACTACAGTGGAAATCTACTACAGAAAGTAGTGTATTAATATGTCAGACACCAACACAGATCTGAGAAAAACAAAGGGCGGAGTACGGGACACAAAACCTCATACATTGAAAAGCTGTAAATGTGAAAGCAAAAGCAACATGCTGGCTTCTATTCTGGGGGCTGCTCTTTACAGTGCCATCCCTGAAAAGGGAGCAGAGTGTTAAATCTGGTTCAGTCATGCAATCTTGTCTTTTAACCTCAACATATGTCAAGTGCCTCATAAGCTTCTTCAAGAATAAAATAACAGGACAAGAGATCTAATTCTAAATTCTGATTTGCACATAAAAATGTAACTTTCAATCAGTGTTAATTTAGCTATCAAGTGCCCTAAAAGTACGCTTAGGTTTTTAAAACTAAGCATTAAGCTGATGTCACATGAGAAATAATCAAAATATAAGTTAATAGGTAAATGCTTCTAACTGATTAAGTATTTGTAAGTAAGTAACTATCTAAATTACTGGGACATACCTGTGTGTTCCAGATGTGCACACATTTGTCAAAAGAACCACTTGCCAGATATCTACCATCAGGACTGAAAGCCACACTGTACACGGGCTCTTGGTGTTTTGTTAAAGTATGGATGCAAATCCCTCGGTCTACGTCCCATAACCTAACTGTAGAATCAAAGGATGCACTGAAAATAGAAGGGAAAATAGTTTTATAAGCAATCAAATATTCTCTTGGACTTGTCCCCAGCCTCCCACATTCTGCCTATCCTTAAGGGCTAGCTACCAGATTACACTGTTAAAATCCAAATAGTATAGTAACTGGAAGACAAACAGAAAAAGCTGAAGGCCCTGGGCTCCTGTCCAGTCACTGCGCTCCCAATAATCCTAGCTACCAATCCATAGCTTGGAATATCAAACTGACTGTATTTTGTGATTCATATATCTCTTTAAAAATTAAAAGCTGTGGATACAAAAAATTTATTATTATCCTATGCCCCAATGATCTGTATGTTTTGGTGAAATAGGGTCTCACTTTAGAGCACAAGTTGTTTACTATGTCAGGCACACAGGCCTAAGTGCTGGATTACAAACACAAGCCCAGCCTGATTATTGGGTTTTATTCAACAGATTAAGAAAGGGGGGCATTAAATCCTAAAATAGTAATGTTAAAAATCCCATGTTTAAAGGTTTCCACTGAAATATATTCCCCTCAAGATATGCTCCCTGTTTTCTGCCATATTTTCCCAAAAATTTTATTCTTGAGAGACTCAATAGGAAAAGTGAAACTGACACATCACCTTGCTAGCATAAGGTTGGCATTTGGATTATTTGTCCCTGGTCCTGTTGGACTCCATTTAATAGTATAAATTTCTTTGTTATGTGCTTGCAAATCATGGACACAGTTATCTTGTCTCATACTCCAAATCTACCAAAAGAAAAAAAAAGGGTAATTTTTCCATTCAACAAACACATTTAAAAGTACTACCTTTTCAGAACAAAATGAGTCATATAACCAGACATCAAGGAATGACTACAAAGAAATTTAAAAGTAGTTGAATATATTTAACATTACTCCATACAAATGTATTAAATTCTTCAAATACTCCTTATTGAAAAATTTGAAGGCTGAATTAATTCACTGCGGTTGTTCTAAGGTTGTTTTCAATAGCCATAAACTGCACAAATCTTAATGCTAGAAGTCCTTGGACTAAGGTTAAAGTAACTCAGTGGTAGAGCACTTGTATGAGCAGTTGAGTAACCCCCCGCAACACCCCCCCCACCCCCCCCCCCCCCCCCCCCCCACCCCCACCCCCAACCCCCCCCCCACCACACCCACACACACCCCCCCACCCCAAAAAAAAAAAAAAAAAAAAAAAACTGGAATTCACATAAAATGCAGTAAACAGCTAGGAGAACAATACTACAGTGCTTTGTAGCTTAAATGTATACAGTTGATACATTTCTACATTTTCCTTTGGCCTTTTCAACAGCACTGGCAAGCTTAACATGTCCCTTGCAATCCTCTTTACATTTTTTATATACTTTTGTCATTTTCTTGATCTAGGGATTCTGTTATTGAGGTTTATCACCCTATAACTTGCTATTCATTACACACCACCCATTCTACTACTGCTCTGAAATCATCTGTGACCCAAAATTCTTTGTAGTGTTAAAGAAAAGCTCCAATCTATATAGTCTGAGGTATCTAATTCCAGGCTGTTCAGCTTGCAACTCAATCCATGATATGTGGTTCTCTGGATATTGGCCTTCTTTCATAGTCCAAGCTTTAATGCATGAGTAAAAAACCCAAAGACAAGATAATTAAGCTAATGTGGTGGCACAGGCCTACACCCAGTGCTTGGGAAGATGTAAAGATGTCAAATTCAAGACCAGCATAGTCTATATAGTAAGATTCTGACTCAAGAGAGCAAAGGATAACGATGCAGCTCAGTGTTGGCATGCTTTCTTAGCATACCCAAATCCTCCACAAGACCCTTGAGGGAAAGGAACACTTAGCTTGTACATAGTATAAAAAGTGATTTTTTCCCTGCACGTCTATCCTATGTGTAAGGGTTACACTACAGTCTCTGATACTGCAAGATCGAGGATAAAATGTTTTCAGGAAAGTATGTGTAGCATGAAGAGGCATATTCAGTCATTCTAGAGATTAGCAAGAGGTATTCACTAGCTATGGTATGATAGGAATTAAGTTTTGGTTTTATTCACATCACATTGTGTTCTTGGATAGCTAATGCCCTGTCTCAACTTGATTGGGTCATGAGAATCCAAATATTTGGCTAAGTATTATTTACCCATGTTTGTCAATGAGAAAGAACAGAGCAGACTGCATTCTCTATGTAGATAGCAACCACTGTGTTCTCTAGCTTCATTACTCATCTAAAATATGGGCCTTCTGCCTGGGCCTTACCCAATAGCCGTGATACTCCAGATTCTCAGGCCTTTAGCTTCAAGTTTGGATCCACATGGCTGGTTGCTGGGGTTTGAATGAGAATGGTTGCTACAGGCTTATATATTTAAATGCTTGGTCCCTAGTTGATGGGACTATTTGGGAAGAATTGGGAAGTGAGGCCTAGATGAACAATGTAAATCACTGGGGATAGGCTTTTTCACTTAAAAAACCTACATCATTCTCATTTAGTTCTGTCTCTCTGCATCACGGTTGGGTTGTTAATGTAAGCCAGTGTCACGCCTGTCTACCACTTGCTTCTTGACATAATGGCCAAGGACTCACCCTCTGAAACTGTTAAGCCCAAAAAACTCCTTCTATAGGTTGCCATCATCATGGTATCTTAGCACAGCAATAGAAAAATAACTAAAACATTGGCTTTCCTGGGTATCCATCCAGTTTAAAAACAGCAAAGAATAAGTTTCAGACTCCATGACTGTGTGTATAGATTTTCCCTCTCTTATAGGTTAATGTATGCTCCTAATTAGTTGTAATGTGCCTAACTCCTTACTAGTGAGAACTGTGACAAGTACAGCAGCATAATATACCTGGTATGCCTTTTAATAGAATTTGCTATATTCAAGTATGCAAGTATTACAAGGGGAAAAAAAAAAGTCTAAATTTAGGTTTTACACATCAAAAGAACATTTTTAAAAGCTTTAAGCCAGATGTGATAAGTACACACTTTTGATCCCAGCATTCAGGAAGCAGACTGGGTTCAAGGTCAGCCTCGTTCACATAGCTGAGTTCCAAGACAACCAGAGTTACATACCCAGTGAGACCTTGATAAGAAAGAAAGAAAGAAAGAAAGAAAGAAAGAAAGGAAGGAAGGAAGGAAGGAAGGAAGGAAGGAAGGAAGGAAGGAAGGAAGGAAGGAAGGACGGACCCACCTTAAAATGCCCAGCCATATATGGACCATTACCCTAAAGCACCCACTACCTGAATTACCTTCAAGGTCATGTCATCTGAACACGAGGCCAGGAGATTGCCAGTTGGGTCCCATTTGATAGCGTTTACTTCATTCTAAAAATGACAGTAAATATTTATATTTTCATTTTATAGAACAGGATGCTATTTGGTATTCAAAAACTATTCTGACATATTACTTGCTCAAAATAGCCATTTTACAGGAGGGAAAAGACTTACTGTGTGTCCCTGGAATGTTTTGATAGGTCTGTCTTGTCCTAATTTGCAGACATGAATGCACATGTCTGTACTACAAGATGCAAAGGTGTTGTTGCTCTGCCAGTCAACATCCAGTGCTGGGGCTGGAAAAGAATACAGGTTAGACTTGCATTGTGCACATGTGTTAAGGATCACAGGTTAGGCTTACATTGTGCACATGTGTGTCACACAGGAGCTTTACCTCTAAAGCATGGCTAGACATTAAGAATTCTAAGCAGTTATGATACACAGTAGTGACCATGCTTTATCAGAGCTGTTTTTAATAATGTTGCTCAGAATGGTTTCCTCCCAGATGATGACTGAGAAACTAATTTAAAAAAAAAAAAAAAATGGTCCCAAATACCACAAGAGTAACAGAACTGTGCTGTCTTCTGGGATTTTGTTTTTTGCTATTTTGTTGTTGTTTGTTTGTTTGTTTTTTTGTTTTTGTTTGTTTTTTGTTTTTTTAAAAATGGAGTGTACTGGATGTCTCTACAATTTTGTTCAAAGGACTACAGAACCTGGAAAAGCTGTTGCTGCTATTGATGCATAACATATTGCCATTATTGCTCTTTTTATATAAATATAAATATATACATATATATAAGCTAAAAAAAGAATTCTAAGCAGTAAATAAATTTTTCTTGACATTTTTTGATATATTCTTTTTTTATTTTTAATGTGCACTGGTGTTTTGTCTGCATGTCTATTTGTCTGTCTGTCTGTGTGAGGACGTTAGATCGCCTAGAACTGGAGATAACCAATTGTAAGCTGTCATGTGAGAATTGAATCAAGGTTCCCTGGGAGATCAGCCAATGCTCTTAACCGCTGAGCCATCTCTCAGAGCCTACTTTATACTTTTTAAGATACAAAGAAAAAACTTTAAAAAGATAAAGTGATCTTAGTATCAAAAATGCCAATAACTTTCAGCTGTGTGATCACTGTGCTTAATAACTCAGGGCTCTGAGTCTTGGCTTCTCTTTTGTATAACTAATAAAAGTCAAGCCTGGTGATAAATTCTTTCAATTTTATTTAGTTGTGCATATATGATGGACAGAGCTTTGGTTCTACCACTGCTTTTGTTTTAAGCCAAGCGAGTCACTGGTGACCCTGGGATAACACCCATTTCTAAATTTCACTTAGTACTTAGAGATGCTGCCAGGGCCAAGCAAGGAGTTGCTTGTCGGAAGAATGCCACAGATTATAACTCAGATAAACAATGTGTCAGAGCCATTCCCATTGTTAACTACTCTACCAAAACAAGGACACTTCACATTATTAGCAAATATATTTTGTTCTAAATAATTTTTGTAAAATTCCTTCTTAAGAAAAGTGACTCAAAACTGTTAAATTTAAAATCTCTTAAGTGCAAAAGTTGGCTAGGATTTAGTGAGTAGCTCCATTTTAGCTCAGAGAGAGTTACAGACTTCTTTTCTTTCCCCTGTAATAAGCAGCAATGACTCTGTAATTAGCCTCACAGATCAAGGCAAGGGTTGCATAACTGGGTTAAGTGTGAACACATTAAGAACACTGTCTTCACATTCCAGACAGCTATGGTGAAGGAGTTTCCATAGGAAATAATAGCCTCAGTATCAATTCCTATGGTCTGCCAAACTACTAAAAGCTACTTTCTGAACCCTGATAGTCTACCAACCCCACTTAGAGACAAGAAGAAACAGGAAGGTGAAGGATGTTTCCCTATCTGCATTGCACAGAAATTTCTTAAACCCATCTTGTACTTCAGTCTCACACTTGGCTAGGTATGACTTCCAGGGGGTGTGACCTGCATCAGACAGTGGCTGTGGCCACCCTGCTCAGCAGTATGTGACTGCAGGCATGCCGGCAGTTCTGTTCTCTTCAGTCTGCCCTGACCACAAAGCTAACTCTCACAAGCTGCCCTCCAATGCCTGTCCTCCTAGTACTGAGCAAGTCCTCCTCTTCACAGAGGAGCAGAGGGGTCAGGAGTCCAAGGTCAGGAGAAGATACACTGCTGCTTCCACTCGCTCAGCCTGGGTTTCTCAATGGGCCCTGCTGTTACGGGGTAGCCTCTTGTCAGTGGTTCAGATTTCTACTGGACTGGCAGCACCTTCCATCTCCCTGCAGTCTCTTTCTTGCAGCTGCTCTTCTCGGGGTGACCTCACTGCTCCTAATGGTCCCTCTTTACAACACGGTCACAAATAGTTTCTTTCTGCTGAAGTCCCTTTCTTGGATCCCCAACTACAGACTGTCTTCCTGCCAAAATCTTGATTCAGTAAACATTGTAGTATTAATATAAAATATCATTTCTTTAAGATGCTACTTAAATTTACTTCTTTAATAAAAAAACAATTCTAATATTAAGACGTAGGAAAAAAAGGCTGGAGGAGGCTGGGGTTTTTAATTATTTTTAAAAATAGATTATACAAAACAAGGTATGAAGGCAGCCAAATAACAGGTGTGACCTATGAGAGCCTGAGTGGCCAGCAAACCCGAGAGGAGGCTGACAAATAGTAAGCCTCACCATGGTAGTCATACCTTAGTTTTGGAAAAAAAGCAAACTGTGTAAGAAATTCAACTAGGAATGCTGACCTGAGAGTTGTGAGGAAAGTGCCTGCAATGTGCCTGGCTCTGAAACCCCACAGATCCAGGTAATCCAGGGAAACACCAGGGAATAGGCATTCCTAACATGGGCCAAAGAAATCCAATAAGTGAAAGGTCGGTTTATTATTATGGTTACATTTTACACATTAAGAGGAAGCTAAGAAAGGCTAAGTAATTTTCCCAGTAGGATACTTTTATCAAACAGTTTTAAAAGTTTTAGAGCTAAAATGAAAAATTCTCTCTTCTGTTCTGATTTATATTCAGTAATCCACATAGATTCCATGATTTTTTTTGTAAAGAATAAGCCTATGAAGAAAAAGGCACATTTATTTCTTACTAGTATCTTTCTTTTTTTAAAATCTGTTCTTTTGACAACTCACTGGCATTTTTAATGGCCTTACTGAAATGTAATTCACCAATTTTAAATATTTTAACAAATGGTGCTCACAGTATTTCATTATTTTTAAAATTTGTGAGCAAATATATGGTGGTGATTTAAGTAAGATGGCCCCTACAAGCTCAAATATGTGAATGCTTAGTCACCAGGAAGTAGAACTCTTTGAAAGGGTTAGAAGGATTAGGAGGTGCAGCCTTGTTGGAGGAAGTGTGTACTGGGAGTGGGCTTTAAGGTGTCAGAAGCCAATGCCAGTCTCAGTTTCTCTCTTGGCCTACAGACCAGAATATAGCTCTAAGCTACTTCTCCAGCACCACATCTGCCTGCTACCATTCTCCCTACCATAACAATAACTCACTAAACCTCTGAACCGTAAGCAAGGCTTTATTTTCAAAAGTTGCCTTGGTCATGGTCTTTGTAGCAATAAAACACTGACTAAGACATATACACAACAAGTTTTAACTAGTCCTAAATGTACAATTTTGTGGTATTACCTAAGTTCACTGTTATGCAACTATCTCCCTATTTCTAAAACTTACTACATACTCCATCACCGAGCACTAACACCTCATCCTGACACCTGACCCCAGTTCCAAGTAACCTCTCAAATGGTTTACTGGGTCTTAGAGAGTGATGCAATAGCAAAAGGACCTGATTCTGATCCCAGGATTCATATGAGAAACCAGGTGTGGCCACGCCTGTGTTGGTAACTCTAACACTTCATCGATGGTATATTCAGAAAAATTGTTGCAGCTTGCTGGCCACCAGTATCTCAAAGAAATAAAGTCGGACAGTGAGTGGTAAGAGGCAACAACACCTGACATCCTCCTCTGGCCTCTCTCTGTACAAGCACACACACCCTCACAGGCACATGTGCAAATGCACAGGCACAATGAAGAGGAGATGTGGTTGGGGGTGGTTGTGTGTTTTCCAATAGTTAGGAGATTGCAGAATTTGTCTCTCAAAAATGGATTGCCTAACAGACAGAAAAGCAGTAAAGGGTAAAAACACTAAGGTTAACACTAACCACTAACAAACTGGCCTAAATGTTTAGAAGAACAATGAAACCAAATTAGTAATTGGTAGTTGACAGAGCTCTAGAAAAGCCCCAAATATGTAGGAAACAAGCAACATAATTTAAATACTCCACAGATTCAAAGAAATAAAAATTCAGTCAGAAAGTTATTCTGGGAGGAAAGGAAAGCACATTTTGAAAAATAGAGGCTGCATGTAGCAAGCCTAGAATTCCAGAGTTCAGAAGGCTAAGGCAGGCTTATCTCAAGCGCCAGACTAGCCTGTGCTACACGGTGACAGTTGTCTAAAAAGTAACAATCAGGAAACATACCAATTATGGAAGTCATCAACATTAAGAACACCCGACTGGGTGTGGAGGCACACGCCTGTAAGCTAGGGGTGCTCTGAGTCAGAGATCAGCACAGTTACCTTAACTGCACAGTGAGTCCCTGATTCTAAAACAAAACATAACAAAAAGCACAGACGAGCCACAGATGAAGAGAAAGTGTTTGCTATACACTTAACAGGTGGCCAGTGTGAAGAAATAGAAATAACAAGGCAGCAGGGTGGGAGGGTGGGGTGGCTGAGCAGATAAAGTCCCTTTTATTTGAGAAATCATGAAGATGAGTTTCTATATGCTCAGAGCCTACACAAAATGTCAGATGTGGCAGTGTGTACCTGCAATCCCAACACTGGGGAGGTAAGGACAAGAAGGATCCTGGAGCTTGTTGGGCAGCCAATGATGAGACTTTGCCTCAAAAAATAATGTGCAAAGTGATAGAGGAAGACTCTTGACCCCTGCTATCGACCTTTGATCTCCATATACATCCACACCCCATCCCCCACACACATTTTATTTAGTTTCTTAGAAAAACAGGCAAACTAAAACCACAGTAAGATGTCATCACAAACAATCAAACTGGATAAAATTAAAAAGTGTGATTACAAACTAAGGTCTGGAAAAGATAGAGTCACTGGACTACATACTGTTGGTGACAATAAATTGCTTTAGAAATCAATTTTAGTTTCTTATCAATGCAGTCATTTTACTACTAGTTACACTAAAAGATTTTGAATGTTTATAGTTGTTGTATTTGTAATAAGCCCAAACTGCAAACACTATTTTACTTCAACAGTAGGTAAACACAATATATAGGCCACCCAAAGGAACCTTGTCAGCAATAGAAAGTGTTTGTTAGAGAACAGAAGAATAAGTATGAAGAACGAAAGAGTCCGGAGTCCTCCAAATAAAATGTACAACATAAACTAATCTTTGGTGACAAAGACTTTCAGTGATTGCCTGGAAAATGACATCACAGAGGGCAGGAGGGAAGCCAGATAAAGGTCATACCTATATCTTCAGAGTGATTATGATTTCATTGGTGTATACATATCTAATAATTTCAAGGCAAATACATCCAGTCCTATCCTCCCTCTTCATCCCCTGACCCCTCTCAGGTTCCTGTTCCCTTGTGTTTTGGTTCCTATCTAAAATGACATCATATCCCTTGGCACAGTATCTCACAACATACATGTGGCATACATATATGAAGCAGGAACAAATGGACAGAGGCTTATTCTATCCCCCAGAAAGTTCTGGTTGGAAGTATGAGAGAATATACTGAGGAACACCTCAAATGGGTGGCATTTATCACACTGTGGCTAAGCATGCACGTGCTCTCCCATCTCCAATTTCTTATCACTCCCAGGATGTATGAGGAAATATGAGACTAGCCAGAGACCAAAGAATAGTCTACCTGGTCTAGAAGCCAGGGTCAAAGAGAAGCAGAACAGGTAAACAGGGGGTGCTGTACAAACACGTACGCTGTGGTAAGCTGTGATAGAATTAAAATGCCTGGTTCTTAACATAATATCTGCAAACCACTCTACTAGATCATACCAAAATATCATTTTGCTCCTAGTTGGTTTGTTTGGTCACAGCTACACTTCTAGCTCTTTGTAAGTGGCTTTTCATTACTAAAGACATGAGGATGATAACTACAACCATCTGCTCTGCTTCAGAGCACAAGCCTCAAAGCAGCAACTATTACCAGGTAATGCTAAAACTACTGCTCTGATTGTCTTCATGCATCTTGTTGCAGTCAATATTACTTAGTTACTGAAATCAAGAAATGAACTGAGAAGCCAGACTTACACACCTGTAACCCTAGTATCCTGGAGGCTAAAGAAGGAAGATTATTTTGAGTCTGAAGCTGCCTGGGATATAATTTTGTTCCTCCCTGACTTCTAAAATGACAGAACTAGTCAGTGAGAACAGGTACAGTGGCTCCAGGATGAAGGCACTGACTGCACTGAGCCACATGCCCAAACACGGCTAAACATCTCACAGGAACAAACCTCCATGTGACACTGAGAAAGCCCATCTTTCATTGCTCAGACATGAGACCTGCCCATGACACATCAATCTAAAATGCACAAGATGATGAAATGTAAACCTGTAACAGTTGAATTTATCCTTACATAAGCCATTTTTCTTATCCCTGCTATCAAGATAGCTATAAATAGCTATCAAGAGCCCTCATCATTTGCATATAGTGAAAAGAAGGCTTAAAAGGTTAAGTGAACCGAGAGCTTATCAAGTGGAGAATGTACAGTCATGGCCAGACCGTCCAATTCTACAGCACCACCCCAACCATACCACTAGGGTGTTTCCTTAACAGTACATTTCACAGAAAACCTGCTGATCCTCCAAAAAGAACTATCTGAAAGCTGTGGAACACCTCCTGAGAGGACTGGTACCAAGAATGCTGTCTGACAGTCAAGGTCCTGAACGAATTCCATGAGGCCAACACTCTAATTAGAGAAACAGAAGAGAGCTTCAGCTTCCATGTGTATTGTCAAGATTTACCTGAATGGAAAGGAAACTGCTGCTTGGCTTCACCAGTGTGTGCATCCCAAATAATGGTAGTCTGAGATTAAAAGGAAAAGAAAAATTAATTTCTCTGACGTTAAAGAGTATGTGAATGCAAGAATGGATGCCTGACTGCATTAAGGCAGAATGAAACTCGACAGTGAACTTCATCTTCAATGTTTTTATTCCTCACAGCACAAGGGCATCATTCACACTCAGGTAGGTCAGGGGAAATGACCATGACGTAGTTTAACTTTTTTGTGGCAATTTTTCACCAACTTATTTCTAGTAACAACTATTGTTTGTCAACAAAGTGCCTGGCATTATATTAGACTGTGTAACAGGTTCCACTGCAATGGTGTGTTCAATATGCATTTTTACAGCTCTGAAGTTAGAAGGTTGTAGTGAAATCACCTATCCCGGAATACTGAAACATTTCTCCTTTCCTGAAGCTTACATGGACAAAAAAGAAAGAAAAATAGATGTTTCCATTTTTGATACCATTTAAGGCAGGTCCTGAAGCTGCTTATGAGAAAGACAGTACTGGCTCTTCTCCCCAGATACCTTCATCAGTCTGTGAAAACTACTCATCAGAACTATGAATCTAAGCCAGTTTATGTCCCCTTCCCAACACCACCCAAATGATTAATAGCCTGTTCTTTGCTGGAACAAAAAAAGTCTTAAACCTTTTATTATTTAGGGAAGTGTGGTAGAGGGGGCCTAGAGGAGGAGGAGCCAGTTCCAACCAGTCTCTATTTACTTCACAGAGCACAGGAAGACATGGATGGCCCACGGAGTCACTCCAGAGTTACAGCCACCACTGAGATAAACTGGCAAAGCACAAAGTGCTGAATGATAACATTCATTAGGTTCAAATTCCAGCAAAAATGAAGAATGCTTATAAACAAAAGATATGATGAGTAGATTAAGGAAAACAAGCGGACAACAAGAAATTATTTCTATTACTGTCAAAAATCCATACTTGAATGCACTGAAGTTTAAATGATTATCAGAAAAGAAAAAAATTACTTTCAAATATAGTGTTATACAGGTTAGGTAAATAATCATTTACCTTATCTACTCCAGCACTTAGGATGAAATTTCCTTTCTTATTCCATTTTAATGCAAATATAGGGCCTTTATGCTGCCCTAAGGTGCTGGCAAGATTACCTAAACAACAACAACAACAAAAAAAAACTTTAAAATTACTTCAAACTTTATAACATAGAACATCAATAAAGTTAGAAAAATACATACCATCTTTAGTCCATATTCTGGCAAATCCATCATATGACCCAGTTGCTAGAAGTGTACCTTCACTCTGCCAGAGAAATAAATTTTGTTCATTACACAATTAAGGCTACTTAATTACTATGAATATGTCCAGGCACAAAGGAATCTCATCTCTGTGTGAGGCCGGCAAAACCCCTTTCCCTGATGAAGTCAATGCTCTTGAAAGGCCCACCCCAAATCTGAGCACTGGTCATAACCGCTGTGGAGTAGGACTGACAATAACCCTCTGCAGAATATTTTCATAGACACCCATGAATGAGGATGGAGGTAGGTTGCAGACTAAAAGGACATCAAAACACCACCACGAAAATGGTTTTATAAGAAGTAAAAAGTAAAATTCTGATCAGGACTTAGGAATTTGGAGCCAGGTTGACTGTACAGCCAAATCCTCAAATGCCTTCATTCACAAACCACTAAAGCAAGGGACACTCACATTCCAATCTAGAGAAGTGACATCCTTGTTGCTGGGAACGTCCTGTCCTCCTTCCCGTATGCAATGCCTAAGCACCAGCTGTGTGGGACCATTCGTGCTGTTTTCACTAAGATTCCATATTCTTGCTGTGGAGTCTCCAGACCTTCAAAGTTCAAAAATAGGTTTAAGTCCTCATGACATTCTCCAGCATTCCAAAACTCAGGCCATACATTTAGCATCTGAGTAAGAAGCAGACTACCAGGCATAAACATTCCCAATATTTTTCTTATTCTACATTTTAGAGCTCCTACCAAGAAATTCTAAAGTTACTTCACAGGAAATATCAATTTACTAAGGTAACATGACCAGAAGCAGGCAACAAGCACCTGGAAAGTGAAATACATACAAAATATGCAACAGTCCATTCAGTAAGGTAGCCTTAATTGGCACTGTAGATCTGGGTATGTTGCAGCAGGCCTATTAATCTCAGGACTCAGGAGGGTCAACAGTTCAAAACTAGCCTCCCCTAAACAGTAAATCCTGTCTAAAACCAAACAAAATACCCAACATCCTTTGAAAAACCTACCCTGATGCCAGGAGATCACTAACAGGGTTCCAGGCACAGATGAAAACCTCAGATTCATGGCCCCGTAGCACAACTGCTTTGTTGGGAGGGATTTCAACATCCCCATCTACTTCCATCAAGTCAGTGTGATTATCTGCATCATGAGAAGCAACAATCTCTGTAAGAGGTAATCACAATTCTAGTACTAGTCCTAAGCATGTGAGGGTCTATATACACAGATGTGGATATGGAAGGAGGCAAGGGAGAAAGAGGAGTGAAAAGGGAGTGAACCTCAGCATGGCTGGAATGATAATGTGGCTGAATTAAACCATCTATAACAATATTATTCTGAGTTTCTGCCAGTAGGGGTTGCTGATATCGTTCATATAACATGAGAGTCATCTTTATTCCTCAATGTCATAGCCTTACTTATGTTTAAGAGAGAACATTCCAACTTTTACTTAAAAATCAAAGGCAGATTCGGAATTCTAAGAGAAAAAGGGTTCAAAAACACCTAAAAAGGAATATACAGTGAATTTAGCTTTTTGGAACCTTAAGTATAAACTCTGAGCTGTGTGACCTAAGTTGGGCATAGAGGTATCATTTCAGTTCTAAGGATGGGACAGTCTATGTAAGGCCAAGTGTTTTCTGAGACTCTCTAAACATTCTTAGCTCACTTGTGATGGTATGTGCTCCATTCTCCTCCCCATTTGCTGTATTCTCTCCATTTTTTGCAGATCCTTGCTGGTTAGTGGCTGCGGCGGCAGCTGCAGCGGCGGCTGCATGTTGCTGTGCAAGCTTGTCTCTGTAGGCTTGTTGTCTTGTTTGGACTACATCGGGCATAACAGCATCGATCAGCGACAGAGACTCAATGGGCCGACCATCAAATAAGGTGCCATCCTGAGATTGGAAAACCCGGAAAGAAAAATGAGATGTAGCCTTGAGGGTGACATGCATTCCACTAACAGAATGAAGAGCTTCACTTTGAGGAAAACCTGGTAATTTTCTGAATTTGAGCAGGAAGGAGAGAAGAGAATAAGAATGACCCTGAATGAGGCAGATGCAAATGGCCCTCTACTCTTCACTTACATCCTGCTAAACTCTACAAAGACAAATGCAATACAAGAGGCCACTCATAAAAGCTCTTAAACAGATAATAAAATGGAAATATGTCAAATTCAGGTAATGAAGGCTGTCAGTAAAAAACATCAACCAATAAGAGTAGCTCATACAACAAAGAGGCAGTGTCTCATCAGTACTCTGAATCCAGGCCTTGGAAAAAAAATAAATGCACCTGTACTGAACTGGGGCAGATCTTTTTCTTGTAGATTTTCCTTAAACATAACAGGGTAACAAGCACATCATATATGTGATCTAGATGTGTACCATTTGGTGTAAATCAAGAGCACTGTAGATGGTGCTCACTGTGGCAATGAGGGACCCATCCTTGAGGATACCAACAGGAGAATGGACACTTTAAACAGCTAAAATCCTTCCACTTATGTTTTTGGGGGGAAGGGCAGGGGAGGAGTGTGTTCACTTTTCAAGTAAAGAATAAAGGGAACACCTCAACGTGTTCTGAGTCCTGGAAATACATTAAACTTTCTAGCTAGAGCAAAGTTCTGCAGACTTCTAGGAAAGAGCAGGCAGTGTGTGCATTTAAGATCCGTGTCACAGCACCTCATGTTCCCAGTATCCACCCAGACAGTCCAAATGTGAATGAGTCTGCCTGAGTTACAAAGCTGATCTACAGAATCAGGCCCCAGAAGCATGCCAACACCTGAAACAAACCCCCTACTTACACATGAACCTCACACATGCAGCTCTGAGCATCAAGAGTGGGCATCCATTATAAATACCTGGATTCAATAATCAGGGTACATGACACTAAACAATGGATTTCCCAATGCTTGCCATCAAGTTGTTGCCGTACAATAAAGCAAAATTCATTATTTGTTAAAAATTATTTCCTTGTGCTTACTTTTTTCTTAAAAAACAAACACACACACACACACACACACACACACACACACACACACACACACAGCTTCCCCACCCCCTCCACCCCCTCCCTTAAGGAATAATCTAGACTCAGGCCACTGGAGCGAAGCCCACATGCATAGCTAGTACAACCTGACTGGTACATTAAGAATGATGACCTTATTTTGTCTGAATACAGTGAAATCGAGTCAGATACTGAATAAACAAATGCATTTAAGAATCAGAATCAGTGTCTGAAATGAAACTCGTCTGCCTTACCTCATTTATGCTAACTTCTGCCTCTACATACTGTAGGCCTTTCTGGATGATGGAGATCAATGCAGCAGGTGGGACAAGGGCGCCATTTATATTGGACTGACTTATATGGCTCTCTATACCAAAGGTAAACGCGGAATGAGAAAATCCTAAAAGCAAAAGAAAAGACCTGAGAATTTACTTTCTTAGTAATTTCACATTAAATTACAAATGGGAAAAAAAAAACTTTATAATCTTTCATAATCACACGCCATCACTTGAAATTGTAAATGGACAGCTAAAGTAAAATATGAGTTTAAACCAATGATCAATGCAGTGCTAGTAACTTTCTGGCATCTACTAGGTTAGTTGGCTCCAGTTTTTCTTTTGTACTTTTTCTCTTTTTTTAATTTAAAAAGTTATTTTTCATTTTACATACCAACCTCAGTTCCCCCTCCTTCCCCTCTCCCCACCTCCTTCCTTCCCAACCCCCACTTGTCAGAGGGGGTAAGGCCTTCCTTGGGGAGTCAACAAAGTCTGGATTACCAAGTAGAGGTAGGGCCAAGCCCCTCACCCCTGTATCAGGATGGAGCAAGGCATCCCACCATAGCGAATGGCTCTAGTATTTCTAACAGTAACACAGCTTTCCTGAAGAAAATGCATCAAATGTAAAAACTGAAAAGCCTTGAGAAACAATGGACCTAAACTGCCTCATGAGACAAACAGAAATCAAGATTTATATGGCAGGTCTTATTTCTGTGGTATATTTGAAATTTTAGAGACAAACTGTCAAGCACCTTCATTGTTTTGTAGCTTAAAAAAATTAGCGAATAAAATGCAAGCTATAATTAAAAAAAAAGGCAAAATGATAACAGACTTGGGCTGGAGATGTGGCTCAGTGCTTGCCTAGTTATGCATGAAGTCCTGGGCTCCAAGCCAGCACTGAGAAAACTGTGGACAATGGTGCACACCAGTACTGCTAACATGCAGGAGATGCAGGCAGGGAGATCAGAGTTCAAGGTTATCTTTTGCTAACCTGTACTGTGTGAGACTGTCTCCAAAAGAAATAAAAAGCCAAATTATAACACTTGAACTTTTTATATAAAATTATTTTATATCCATTGTTTTAAAAAATACTCATAATTTAGGAATAACTCATCTAAACAAGCACTTAAGAAAAGAACTATAAAATGAAAGTCCAGTTTCTAGGTAGGTCTCCTTTGACAAATTAGTCCCAAAACTCAGGAAGCAGAGGCACATTACACAACATTTTCCAGGATAGCCAGGGGATGGCTACAAGGAAAGGCCATCTCAAAAAGTTAAATAATTTAAAAAAATACTTCAAAGCATGAAACTCACATAGCCAGTCTCTTTATATTAACTTCATATTATAGTGAAAGTCTAGTCCAGATAACAAAGAGAAGTTCCAGTAACAGACAGGATGGCTGCTCTCTGTGAAATCCCATCACAGTTTACTAAGTTTAAAGCCTGTACACATCCAAACAGCATGTGGCTGGGAAAGGCTCGTGGGTGGACAGAGTACACCTGGCTGGGTTCTCCTCGAAGCTTGTACTTCTGCTAGCCATGCCTTCCTTAATGGCCCACGGTGGGAGGGGGAGACAGTCATTTTTCTAAGACTTTAGTTTTAACTTCATGACTTCCCCCACAGACTAGTTTGTGTTTAGGCACATTAAAGGTTTTGTGTTTTATCTGAAGTCACAAAGATGGCAGAAACAAATGTGGCTGTGAGACAGGGGAGAAAGACACCTTTCTGAAGTATCCTTCAGGAATCCCAAGTTCCAGAATCTGGGGAGGTCTAGCTTCCAGATCACCAGCACAGAAAGGCAAGCCTAATTCTTGGAAGTATTAAGAGAGAGGACTGGAGACGAGGCAATGAAGTTGGAGGTTGGGGATTTCTATGTAAATAACATGACAGTCCCCAAATAAGTTCTTCAACAAATCAAAAATGGGGTGGGGGCAACCACTTAGAAGACTTTGAAACAGAAGATGCCATTATGGAAAACACACCAGCTCTTTATTGCATTATATTATGAATTAAGGCTGGGGACAGTCACAGGACGCAATAGGGACTCAAATCCATCCTGCTTCCTGATTCTCTTGAAAAGTCAAAATACTACACTTGAGAACAGCAGTCATCATTGCTCAGTTGTTCCTTAGGGACTGAGAAAGAGGAACAGGCACATTATAAAACACTAGGGCACCTCACCAGGATTGGGAAGGAGTTTATATTTACAATCATAAGCTGAGTAAAACCTGTTTTCTCTACATTCTCCTTGAATACATTTCTCAGAACTACCAGATTCCAGATCCTATCACGCATCCGTACTGGCCTGCCCTTGGGGTTTTTGTTTTTTGTTTTGGTTTGGTTTTTGGAGACAGGGTTTCTCTGTGGCTTTGGTGGTTGTCCTGGAACTAGCTATTGTAGATCAGGCTGGTCTCAAACTCACAGAGATCTGCCTGCCTCTGCCTCCCGAGTGTTGGGAGTGTGTGCCACCACTGCCCAGCTTGTCCTTGGGGTTTTGACAGGATATGTCCTCAACTCCAGCCACTAAGAGCACTATCTGTGCATAGTCACTATCCTCCCCACCTCCCATCCTTCTATCTTTCTTACTCTCCCTCTCTCTCTCTATTACCCTTCCACCCCACACCTCTCTTTCCTCTCTTCTGATGCTCCAAATCCTTCTGTCCACAGAGACCAATCCCACACCCTTCCTCTTTCCTTTTTTACAATCCTTTTCCTTAATAGAAAACCCCCCTCCACTTGAAATCTGTCACATGGCATCTTTCTCTCCCCAGCTGTTTCTTTTAAAATTACAACACTATCCAGCTTTCTTCCAGTTTAAGCTTAATGATCTGCCCATGAATGCAACTGCTTGCAGTAGCAGGCAGAACTGCGCTTTAAACAGGAAAGCTGAGTATGGCTTGCACTTTCCCCAGACCTGGAAAGAGGCTCGTGAGCATCTCAAGTCACTGCAAATGTGCTGAGTTATCTCAAGCAGTAAGGGGACAACCTTGAGCAACTTAAAATCATCAGCATCACTTGACAACTGCTATTGGTGATACTCCTGGCCATCATGATGAAGACCTATATAGTACAGATGAAGCTATTTCTGGAACTTAGTCCTACCTTTCTCCACAGGTCTGTCCCCCCCCCCCTCCAATAGGCAGCTCCCATCCCAGTACACACACTAAGTCTGTAAGATGTCAAATGGTACCCAGCATCTCCACCATGCTTTAGTACCCACCCCTTGCTTCTGAGCCTGACAGTATTGCTTCCCTCACCTATCATTTTCTCCTGTGATCTTACAACATACACATGTACATGAATGCTAAACTGAACAGTCTATACTGACTACTCCATGTGCAAGTCAAGGAAAGGGTTTAAATACAGTAATATCCTTTAACTCTGGGAAACTAGTAAGTTACCTGTTTAATCATTGTTAAATCAGAATGTTATTCCACCATAACACATTTTGTCATATGTAAAAATCTGTCACTCCAGAAAAGCCAGTCTTTGTTAAAAGACAACTAAAACTTGAACCAGGTTTATGCCCCCCTTAAATTACTATTCATTTGATGAAAATGCTCTTTCAGGGACAACCTTAGATTTACATAGGGGTAAAGGGAACTGCTTAAATCTGCAAACCACTGAAATCTGGCTTATTAAAAACAGCAGCCTTTCTTTTCACAAGGAAACCTGAGTCTGACATGGGCAGCACTCAGAATATATGCTAGGGTAACTAAGAGTGGGGTAAAGGAGCTCCTCTGGAGAGCTGGGGGAGAAACCAGGAAATCACAGGGACAACAGTGGCAGGGTGTGTGCATGTTTATGTATATGTGTCTGTGCCTCAGTCCTGTTTTTCTACACTGCTTGGTTAACAAGTGCTTTCCAGGGACAAGCTGGCCTCTAAAAAGACAATGAACTGCTCTCCAGAGCCTGGCAACTCTATTTTCCAAGCACAAAAAAATGAGGTGTTTTGTTGTTGTTGTTGTTATTGTTTTTTAAGGAAAAATTGGTTCTTAAATATCAAGCTTAAGGTATAGGGTGCTTGGACAAGCAAACTACCTGCTCCCCAGCCACTCCCTTAAGGCAAAGCTTAAATGAATATGGCAGTGTCCTAGTAGGATGATGAAGCTTATTTAGTCAAAGTCATGTTTAAGTTTTTGTTGTTGTTGTGTTTGTTTTGTTTGTCTGCTTTTAAATGAGGAGATGACTAGCCACAGAAGTGGAAATCAGCATTTATGCTTCTTTATAATAAAGTGAATAAAAAATAAAATCACTTTTTCTTATTTTGTAAGTGGAATGACTGTTTTGTATAGAATAGGAAGTTTCTATTTCTCAATTATGATACTTTTAAAGATAAAAGTCCACTAGAATAGTTGCCAGAGTACTTGCACATTGTTAATCTTGGCATCTTTCTTTTTCTATGTGTTTTGTTACTTTTGACAGTATGGCAGAAGTATAAAGAAGCATATATACATAGGAGATCTTGTGACTAAAACACAGGCCCAGTATTTCTGTGTCTGACTTCTGATTCTGGAACATATGTATGCCTGTAATGAGATTGTCTCATGAGAATGAGACCCATATTTAAACAAATTCATTAATGGTACATGGCACCCTTTACAAAAAATCTAGATGTATTCTTTGTAACATTATAGTTAGTGTGCCCTGTATTTTAACTGAGTCTAGTCAACATGAACTCAGATGAGAAATTTTCTACTTGCATTAAATTAGTTATTACCTGATAGTGGATTTTGAAGCATTTTGGATTTCAGATTTTTCAGTTACAGTGCCAATTTTCTACATCATTTGGATAAGTACCGTATTACAAAGTGGTATGGCCTATATCTAGGAGACTTGATACCTTTTAAAGAGGTTACAAAAGTCAGGGGTGAGATACAGGAGTGATGTCAGGGAGACTATGTGCACCATGAGTCTCAGCTCTAAACCTTTGGGGGTTTTCTTCCTAAGACTTTCCAACATTATAATCTAGTGCTTCCCTGGCTTTAGTAGTACTAAGTGCATTTGGAATTTTGCAATTTCTACTTAGTCAATCGTAAGATGCATCTGTTTCATGACTTTTAAGAGCTGAGTTCATCATCAACAGAGATGTGTGGAGCTCTTAAACATGTGCGATGACAAGTCAAATCTGTGAAGGGTTCCCCAATCAAACACACAGAAGTAGCAATATGCAATTTTATCTTGTCTCCCCCACAGGAGACAGGGTTTTTTTTTGTTTTTTTTTGTTTTTTTTTTTTTTTCCTCTGCGTAGCCCTGGCTGTCCTGGAACGAACTCTGTAGACTAGGCTGGCCTTGAACCCAGAGATGCACCTGCCTCTGCCTCCTGAGTGCTGCGTTTAAAAGTGTGCACCGCTACCACCCAGTTGAAATTTTATCTTCTTAAATGAAGCAGCTAGTTCTTAAATGAAGAACAAATACCAGAAAGTTCTTAAGAAATTACCTGGGAAAATCTATTTAACACCCCCACCCAACAAACAAAACTGAATGTGGGTGGCTGGTAGGAAAGATCCAAACCAGGTCAGCTCTAGTGAATACTGTGTCTGGCTTAATTACATGACTCATGGACCACTGGGTAGCTACTGTACAGGGTAAGTCAACAGGGCAATCAAATTCATACCCTGAGGCAAACACTAACTAGAAAATGGACACTGGTTCAAATCAATCCTTACTTACATATAACAAATACTTCACATTTTTAAGTTATCTCAAAAGGAAGAAGAAATGATTTCCTAAGAGGTATTTGCTGCATTGGGTTGGCTTCCTAAAAATGCTGAATGGTAAGGACCCCAGCAACTTTCTTACCATGAACTTAACTAAGACAAAATTGAGAAGTACAAAGTTACAACACTTAATAAAAACCAATGATAAATAATACTTTTGTCTTCATCTTGACATGTCAGGAACAGCCAGTTTGGAAAGGCAAGCCCAACTGAATATTTAAAGCTATCACGATGCCATCCCTTTCAACAAGCAACCCATCTTGGAAGTTAGTCATCTGGTGGCAAATCATGTTTGCTAGTGTTAATAATAGTATAAAATATTTTAAGACTAAAAATAGCTTCATTCCTTCTAGATGTGGAATCAAAGTCTAGTCAACATTAAACATGGTATTCATGGAACAGATGTTACAAGTTCTTACTGAAAAATGTTACTTCTAAGCCAATTATTTATCAAAACAGAACCAAAGCTTCCTAAGGCATTTCTAGCCTGACAGCCAGAATGAGACACTTTACTGTAGTCTAATCACTTCACAGACTAGTTCTCTATACACCTCTGCCATGGCCTCCTTTCTGGACTTACTTATTTCAAAGGGGATAGGAGGGGGAGGGAGAGGAGGAGGGGGGGGGGGGGGGGGGGGGGGGGGGGGGGGGGGTGGTTGGGGCTAGATATTTCAAGAGAAAAAGTTATGACTCAAGCAACTTATATTGCTTAAATATTTAACTGATTGCCACAAGCACCTCTGAAATCGATAGTGCAGATAAAACTGAATCCCTTGGTTTCAGAGATGATCACAATCATGTAACATTCGACAGAACCAACTCTGCACACAAGTGTCCAGTCTACAGACAATGGAGTTTGTTGTGGCTGGGATTCTTACATACAGTGGTTTGACCTAAACAGCTGCCTTCAATACACCAAATGAGATGCATGTATGTACGTATGTATGTACCCATCCACCAGCCCTTCACATTGCTTTCTGCCTGTCTGTCCAAAGGCTTCAAAACTTGGCCTGACAGGCAAAGGAAAGACTTAAGAGGAGAAAGTCACGGTGTCCCACAACAAACCCCTTCCACGGAGGGCAAGTATTGTGTAACAACTTGTAAACACATTCACAGGATATGTGGAACAGTTGTGAGGGCCACTATTTTGTCACTTTATTGGTCGTTTTAAACAATCTCTGGAAATCTCCTATTGGATCTTCCTTCCCTCTCAGTTTAAACAAATCCCAAAGCTTCCTAACAGGTTATTATTGTCTGTTGGGTGGTTACTCTAATCTCTGAGCTCTTTTCTGCCCTTCTCTTTCTAATCAGATGTCATTTTCTCAGCTATTCCAAGAGGGGCAGTAGTAAATTTTTTTTGCCCATTCCAGCAACATCTTCGCTCGCAGTGTTACTTCTGCTATGATTAGATCTCTTAATCTAGGAAACTTGATCAATAACATCTCAATATTAACATCTCAATATTAACTATAAACCACATTCAATGATCTATATTAATAACCCTGCTGATACATTAATCAGAGTTCAAATCAGAATATATTTAATAAATTGGGATTAATACTTCCAAAAATATTCTGAAAAGTATTGTTAATTTAGATTTTAGGATTCTAAAGGTAAGTAGGAAAATTAATTAATTGTACACATGTGATATACATTACAAAGATGATGGTATCTGAGTTTTTACCAAACATATACAAAGTCACTTCATAACATCTTATGTATTAAAAATGACCTGTGAACATTGAAAGGCAAACTACTAGTTATATGTATTTGCCTGAAATGATCCCAACATATTTGAAAGAGTCAGAGAGTTAAACCATGCAGCAAACATAGCTTTAAAGTTGCAGTCCAGAATCAAAAAACAGACAAAGCTCAACAGTTTGGGCTGGTACAAATTTCAAACGCATATAATTAAGAATATTAAAGATTTTGAGGCCTATTACTTTATAGAAGTACTCACCTGACTCTTGCAAGTACCTATATACCAAGAAGTTGACCTCATCACTGCTTATACTCATCTTTATTCCCACTTAAACCATGAGGTCACAACACAGGATATAACCCTAAAAATAAAACAAAGTTAATTATTTTCTCAGTAAAATTATATTTTAGAAAATGTAAACAATGCTATAAAAAACATTTGATTTTATTAAATAATGGTAAACAAAGGTTCTTCATTGCCTTGCAGTATTAACATAATTAATTCCGTTGGTAGTAAAATGATTTGCATAATCAACGTAAGCTAGTGCTATTTTTCTATGGGGTAACATGGTATCAAACAGGAAAAGATTCACAAAGGCCTTCAACACTGCATGTAATATAAAACTTACTCCCTTTAGACTCCTTAACTAGAGGGGAGGGAGGAGACAAGACTTAAGGTTCAAGAACACGAGTCACTGAAAAAAGGCACAATTTTAAAGCACTGAGCAGGGCGGTGCCTCAGCCATCTCCTCCGGCTCTGTGATGTCTACACAGCTGGTAGACTTGCTCTCTACATTTCAGAATCTCAACACCGTGTTCAAAGTCTTAAGATCTGGGTATGTGTACAACCATGATGCTGGAACACAGTTCTTAGAATGCCACAGTTTCTTACTGGATAGGGTGGGATAGGGCAAGAAGGACACTAGGACATGACATATAATCATAAATCTATGCTCACAATTTAAGAAGTGGTCAGAAAACTCGTAAGAGCCAGACAGTAAATATTTGAGGTTCTGCCAGCCATATAGTCTGTTACAACTACTCAGTATTACCTTGTGGTGCAAAACAGTGAATGCAAACAAAAGGACATGGATGGTGCTCCAATAAAGCTTTATTTGTGGATACTGAAGCTTATAATTTACAGTAATTATTGTATGTTAAATATCAGTCTTCTCCCTATACCCCCAGCCCCAAACACACCTTTTAAAATGAAAGTAAAACAAAACATATCTTTGATTTTGGTCCTTTTGAGAGAGGTGGTGGGTTGGATTTGACCCACTGTGTACTGATCTGTTTTAAAAACCTATGCTGGCATTTACTCAGAATAAAGGTGCATCAAACACGTGGGCTTGTGCTAACTTCTACACCATGGTTCTTGTGTACACATGGCCCTTGCCTATTACACTGGGTGGATGTGGAGGTGAAGGGACACCCTGGCAGACATGCATGCTCCAGAGTAACTGCACCATGTTCATCGTGCTTCATAGAAAGAAGTGCCAATGGTTTTCTCCTTGGTTGAAGAAAATTGGATTTCCACTTAATGATGGTACTGAAAGGAACAGCTCCCCATTTCGGCAGCCATAACAGAACACGCACTTGCCTGACCTTGTCTTGGTCACTAAGGTCAGATGCCTGCCCCATTCAGCAGCATAACAGCTGAACACGTGCTTGTCTGACATTGTCTTAGTCACTAGGAAGTCAGATGCCTGCCTCGTGGCAAGGAACCAATCAGAAGTTAACTGGTGGTACTATGCTTTATGGCTCTGGGTGTGCTTTACAAACAAGCGCATAGCAATGACGTGCAGAGCATAGCAACCACCCTGGGAGGGCCTATGGGCCATAACAACCAGTTGACCAATCAACACAGGGCAAACCCTCCAAGCCTGGAGCCACACCAATCCTGAGCCTGTGCGTACCCCTAGACACTCCCCTTACGCTGCCCTATAAGATCTCCATGCAGACGGTTCGAGCTGTCTTTTCTAGCCATCTATCATGGCAGGTAGATGAAAGACCCGAGCTAACATGGGGTTAGCTCGTTAAACAACTATAATAAAGCCTCGTGCAGTTTGCATCAAACTTTCGACTCTGCCTGGTGATTGGGGTGACCGAGGTCCTGGGCTGAGATCCTGGAAGCCTGAGCTTCCAGGGATCTTACAGTACTGTGTGTGGATTAGATTTGCTAACAGAAACAGTATGGAAAGGCTGCTGTAGCACTTAAGAGGTGAACCAGGAACTTTAGCAGGCCTCAGAGACCTGACAAACACAGGTTGTGGCCACATCCCACAACCTTCCTGGTTCAACTTGGACAACATTGAGTGCATACAAGTTAGGGCAGTGTGCCTAAGCAGGCAAAGGATGTGAAATATGGTTGACTCACAGGTGCCATCCACAGCACAGTGAGGAGGATCTAGTCCTTTTGAGTATAGCTAATTACCTTTGTTACAATGGCACACAGACTTCTTTCCATTAGTTTGGAATAGTAAGGAAAATGGGAGGGGGTAATTTCCATTTACAGAGCACTTGTAGACAACAGATAAAGAACCTGGTTGAATACTTGCTGATTTTCCTTTTCAGTATTATCTTCCTCACTTCAATATGGCAAGACCATTCCTGTAGACAGGGTTATGTACTCAAATACTCAAATACTAATTTCTGATGACTACTAGAAGTGACACTTGGCACTAGGAGGTCTCTCTGCTAATTCCAGGCCCTGACCCATGTGACCAATCTATATGAATAGTGGAAGCTATCACAACAGTTTACACACAATGTTATTTTAACAAATGGCATCACATCCTCAAAGGTACCAAGAACATGTCATACACAGGCAACAAAATCCCTACTGAACAAGAGCTCAGAATACACAGCATCTTCTACTAACACAATCCTGACTGAGGGGAGCTCTTAAACTCATAAGCAGTCATCATTCATCTGTGGCCATGTTGCCATTATAAAGTGCTATGTCAAGCTGACTTTGTGAAGCCAAGATACACCGTAGCAACAAACAGTGACTCTTTAACATGGTGGGCTCACTATACTTTTCAACTCAAAATAGCATAACTATGTAACTGTGTACAAGTGCAAAGAAAGTGAGCCACCTGGGATGAGTCTGTAATGAAGACACGGTCTCTCAAGTTCTCTAAGTTCAAATAAAGCTATGTGGGTCTTACTTGGGTTGGTTCCCTTTTTTTAAGAGACACCCCAGGGATACACAGGCACAGAGGAGCTTCAGAAGCATCAACCTTAGCAGCCCTGTGGGCACAGGAGTCTCAGAAGACACCGGCCATAATGGTCCCTTGACTTTGCATCACCTAGGATCCTAAGGACGGGTTTCTTTTGGCCACTCAGTCAGTGGGGATGTGTTATAGTAGCTCTAGCTAATGTAAAAGTACTATTGTTTGGTTTTGTTGTTTGGGGGAGAGGCTTATCTATGGTATCCTATTATCAAACCCCTGAACTTGTTTCCACATCTCAAGTTGTCAATGGCACTTGACAGATGCAGGACAACATGTGGTTTCATCACTGCAAAGCCTGAAACTCTATGGAATCACCATTTGATACCTGTGAATTTACCATCTGAATTCACAGAGCTTTGTGAACATACAATGCCCTTCAGGAATTAGCTCAGTACATTAGCACCTACTATCTTCTGTCATCCTATGTCCTACTCTTCCCCCAATAAAACAGCACTAAACACTGCAACCACACTGAAAGTACTCTACTCTCAATTTACCACCTCATTGAAAATAATGAAAACCTCCCCAAGGTTAAGGTAATACCATTTTGTGTACAAAAAGTAGATAGAAGCGAGGAAAGCTTTGAGGCATTTTTCACATCTTCAAAGACAAGTAATTTCTAGTATTTTAAGGCTAAATAATATCCTGTTTATGAAAGCACATTTGTAAACAATAAAACAAAGAAAACATGAAGATCTTAATGTGATTAGATAATCTTAGGAAGGAAACTCCCCTAAATGAAATGCATGTTCCAGGTTGTTTGATAACTAATTTAAAATAAAGTTGAACCTCAGTCTAACAAAATCAAGTCAATTCTTTTACTTCCAGGTTTTTGGTTCTTTTTGTTTTTTTGGACACAGAGTCTATGTAGTCCCAGCTGGCCTCTAATTCACAGAGATCCACCTACCTCTGCCTAAGTCCCAGGATTAAAAGGTGCAATGCACCACACCAGGCCAAATCTGTTAAATTCTTAAAGCATCAGTCAATAATAGTATACTTGCTTGTGTGTGTGAGTGTGTGTGTGTGTGTGTGTGTGTGTGTGTGTACACACTATGGTAGTTGTACTATAGTGTAAGGATGGCTGGTGGCAACCTATCTAATACATTAAAACAACGAAATTCGGGAGACAGCTCTGCGGCCAAAAGCACTTGACCTAGGAGCAGCATTCAGATCCCCAGCGACCACATGAAAGCTGGACATTACAGCATGAGTTCTTAACTCAATGTCTCAGGAGCTGGTAGCAGACACAAAGCCAACAACAGCAAGGCTGTAGGTGAGGACTGACCTACACGCACACTGAGGTGCACTGTGCCTAAATGCACAAGTACGTAACAGGTAACATCTAGGGGGATTTTTAAAAAAGAAATCTGGCTCCTCAACTAAGAATAAATGCTATTTAAATTGCATTTCAATCTTAAGACTCATCCTATGAAATTCACACTAAAATGGAAAAAATCCTTTAAAATAAAGTCACTAGACCTACATCTCATATTTTTTAACAAGGCTTATTCAATACTTTAGATATAATGCTCTAGTGCAGACAACCTACAGTATACCCACACGTAACAGAAACAAATGCAAGGAAGCAAGAGGAAAAGCAGAAGAGAAAAAGTTATGAATGCAAGTTGCCACTCTCTTCCGGCATACAATTATCTTCAGGTAAGTCTCCAAAGAGTACAGTTGACAAGATGTTCACTTACTCAAAAGGGTACTTTCTTTTTGTGTTCATAGTCAATTTTGTGTTGTTTTATAAACAGGGTAGTCACCATCATTTGATACTAGAGAATACTACATTGGAATCCCAAATTAGCCATTTCAAAGGGTCTTAGCAATGTGTCTAGTAAAACTGACAAAACTTATACAGGTATCAACTTCAATTAATATTAACTATACTTAGGATGAGCAAAGGAGCCAAAACTATGCAGGAGAAACCTGCAGAAACAGTTGACCTGACCTAGTGAGAGCACAGAGACCCTAGTCAGAAAGCTGGGGAATCATCATTGGACCTAACCAAGCCCTCTGAATGTGGGTGCCAGCTAGGAGGTTTCTCAGGAAACCAACTACAGGATTCAAGGTAAACAAACCACTTTCTCCCCCAAGAAAGAACGTTGAGACAGTCCAATATG